CTACCTGCTGCTGTACTGTCAAACTCATTGGGGATAATATGTCATATTTTCCCTTCCTAATCAGCTGGATGTCATTCAGAAAGCTGGGACAAGGAGAATTTTTTCCCCAGACACCAGCTTGCCTTGCTAACAGACAAAACTCGAGCCTTATAATAGTACTTGTATATAGCACTTATATAGCTTTACATCGTCAAAGTGCTGTACTAGCATTAAGTAATTATCTCTCTCCCTAATGGCCATTAATGCTGGCCTTTCACGAACCTCCCCCAGCTCCCCAAGGTTCATATCTAATACAGTAATAAGCTGCTCAAAGGGAGTGGCTGGGTATCCTGCAAGTCTGTGGGCTTGGATGTGTAATGAGGCTTCAGAACAGAGGCCAGGTGCCCTGGAGTATCAGAAACATGTGGCTGTAGGCCAGGTCATGCGCATGGGAATATCCATTAGAAAGGGATGGAAACGAGTAGGTGATACTGTGATCTTGAAATGGAGACAGAAGAAGGAAACTTCAGCCACTCAGAGGATATACACTGATTGCTCTATTTATTACCAGGACAGTACTGCAAACTGAAAGAGCAAAGCAGCGGGCATAACATGTCAATGTAGGTGTTGTGGTTTAACCCCAGCCGGCAACTAAGCACCACACAGCCGCTTGCTCACTCCCCCCCACAGTGGGATGGGGTAGAGAATCAGAAAAGTGAGAAAACTCATGGGTTGAGATAAGGACAGTTTAATAATTAAAATAAAATAAAATAATAATAATAATAATAGTAGTAGTAGTAGTAGTAGTAGTAGTAGTAGTAGTAGTAATAAAAAATTGTAATGAAAAAGAGAATAACAAAAAGAGAGATAAATAAATCCCAAGACCGACAAGTGATGCAAATGAAAACAATTGCTCACCACCCACCGACTGATACCCAGCCTGGCCCGAGCAGCGGCCCCCCCCAGCCAGCTTTCCCCTTAGTTTATACGCTGAGTATGACGTCATACGGTGTGGAATATCCCTTTGGTCATTTGGGGTCAGCTGCCCAGCTGTGTCTCCTCCCAGCTTTTTGTGCACCCCCAGCCCACTCGCTGGCAAGGTGGTATGAGGAGCAGAAAAGGCCTTGACTCTGTGTAAGCGCTGCTGAGCAGTAACTGAAACATCCCTGAATTATCAACACTCTTTTCAACACAAATCCAAAACATATAGTCTCATACTAGCTACTGTGAAGAAAATTAACTCTCTCCCAGCCAAAACCAGCACAGTGGAAATGGGGAGTTGATCTAGAGAGAGAAAGTTAGACAGCTAAAAATGTCAAGCAAAGCTAGACAGCCATGGCAATGGGATAAAGAGGCCAGTCTGCAGGGCTATGAAGCATTAAAATAACAAGGAGAAAGGACGAGCTTGGCAGCATCATAGGATTTAAAGGGAGGAACAAAAGAGGATTTACTTACCTTATTTGCTTGAAAGCAAATCCCTCTTCCAGGCTGTGGAGTGTCTCCAGGAGAGTTGTTGCAGTGCCACTGTTGAGGACATATCACCCTTAGGGCCTTTAGAAGATGAACCTGCATGTTGGCTGGGCTCCCCCATCCCTGGCTCCCAAGGGGAATGGAGGAAGGTGGGGTGGGAAGATGACATGACTGTTTCAGAAAACGCTCAGAAGTAGCATGCTCCTGACAAGCATCAGTCCTGCATGGTCACTCATTTCTGAAATCTACCAGGCCCAGCTCTGAGCAAACAGGGGCTTGACTGAAGCAAACTTTTAGCTTCTCTCTACAGACACGATAATGATTCTTTCCAGAGCCAAGGTCATGCCATGTAAACCGGCTTTGCAAAAGAAAAAAACAGCATCCCTTTTTTTTTTTTCAGCCACATTTAATAGCATCATTTTGCTTTTAAGCTTTTGGCAGCGGCTGGTCCTCTAGAAGAAGTATATAGCTGTTGGAATCACGTGCAAGTCTATGCTGGCGTAACACAGATCACACCCACTATAAGTTATGCAAAGGATTTCTGTCACCCTGGACACACTCTGCTTCCTATGGCATCAGTAGCACAATCCCTCCGTGCTCAGTGCTAAATAATTCTGCTACACCAGCAAAGAACAGGGTATGGCTGACTGCAGACCAGGAAGACTCAACTTAGTGTTCACTTACCATACAGCTTCAGAGCAGGCCCTTTCCCTGCCTTCCTGCATCTGTTTTCTCATCTGTTAAACGGGAATTTTAATCCTAATCAGTTTGCAAGGGGAGCAGTACGGGATTGTCAAAGGTGATGCTTTAAAATGTAATAGTCAGCCTTATGTGCTGATCTAGACATTGGAGTGGTTTTATGGTACAGTTTAATTGATGCCTACTCTGCTTATAGCTAGCTAGTAAGTGCAAGACTTAACATTTCCTCTCAAAAATGTGGCACCTTGTTTGAGATGCAAAAAGTACCTCTGCAAAGAATACCTCCTCATCTATGAGCATAGCTGAGCCGTATTTTAGGATCCACATATTTTTGAGTGTTGCTTGGGTTTTTTTTTCCCCCCAAAATTAGTTTGATTATTAATTATTACCAGATTAATTTTTAGTAAAAGATATGTCTCACATGACAGATAGGGCTGAGAGGAATGCTTTGGCAGTCCCTGGACTCTACCATATGAGTTAAGACAAGACCGTGTCGTCACATCCTTGAGACAACTGTTAACTGTGTATGTCACTTGACTGACAGTTCTTCACCAGAATGTGTCTAGAGGAGACCAAAGACCTCAACTTTATTTTAGCTTATTAGAACTGAAATGGGACTACTAGCTTCTCTGTTCTGTTTTCAGGTCCAGATTCTCAAGTGGTGTAAATCAGGGTGCTCCCATTCAAGCAAAACTGCTAATACTGTTTGTGTAAGCTGAGGACCTGGTTCATAGATTCTGAACTGTTGTAAGACCTGTTCAAAAGGGAGTTAAGTGTGCTCAATATGTTGTATTACCTGTAATCTCAAACGATCCTGCAAGATTCAGGATATTGCAAATATAGAGAGCTTTGCAATAAGTAATCATTTTGAGATTGCTGGAAAACTGAAGAGTTAGTGCTACTTAAAGGAGAATAAAATAAGCATTAGCATAAAACAGTTTTTGCAACAATCAAGTTTGATGTATGTCCTGTTCTGTCGATAACATTTCCTGAGAGCCCTTCACAAGAAGGGAAAGCAACTTGTAAAAGCTGGGAATGCAGGGAAGAGCTAAAATTGCAGCCAGGGTTCAAAGGAACAAACAAAGAAAAGCATATTTCCATTTCCATTATGGGAGAACATTCTTGGGAGTTCAGAGCAGCAAGCTCAGAACACGCCAGCCAAGCCATTTCTAAATAGGAGGTGTAGAGCTGCAATGAGCTTTTTATCTTCATGCATCACAGTTTTGAGTGCTTCTGCACTTAGGAAAGAAAGATATTCCGGAAACCTTTAAAATCCCTTCTCTTTTTTGTAGAAAGAGGCTGTTTCAGAGTTAGAAAAAGGGCTGGTTTGCAGACCTCTGAGTACAACGCTACAAGCCCAGGTCCAAATTCTGCCAAACCCCAGAGAAGTCTGACTTGCACCCTCCGTGCAGAAAGCCTGCTAAACATCTTACCCATTTCACACCCTAGTCCAACACACCTCCCCGGCACCATTCCTTTTGCTTCTAAGCACTGCAGCGTGTCTCTATACTGACCCTTCCCCACGCTAGTTCTGCTTTAATCAGGCAAAGAAACGTGTGGCAGCTTGGGAAAACTGGCAGCTCGGAGGAGAGCTTTTGTTGGTACAAGAAATATTTTCATCCAAGCAAGCGCAACAATCTCATTATTTTGAATAGCGATACATGTGCTGGAAACCTAGATACCAGATACCTTCTCCCTGATCCGTCGTCATAGGACCAGAGAGATTTCTGCCTGTTTGATTTGGTTGCACTGCTACAAAGTTATTAGCACTTGCTTTTTTGGTGTCCGTAATGAGACAAGCAGTCTTCCAAGTGGTACCAAAAAAGCACTCTTTCTCATCACCACTAAAACCTCAGACATTTTACCCTCAGCAGAAACTAATGCTGGAGACTTGCAGCCATATTGCTTCCAGCACCGGCTGGTCTTATCAATTAGCTATTTCCCCACAGATGGTGCTTCTTATGTAGAAAGACAGAACAGAGAAAAACTTGTCCTGCTCAGAGACACTTGTTTAGAAATCTCTAGTGAATCCAAAGGTAAATTCATCTGCTTTCAAACTGTTTGCATGTATGCTGCAAACCTGCTGTATACCTACTGGATTCACGTGCCCTAGAGAAAGGTAGACCCTGACTGAGAAAGTGCCTTGCCCTGGCTTGGCATACCCCAATGGGACTTTGCCCATGGGCTCTTCCATTTCCAAACTCTCCAAAGGGTCTGGCTTTCCTGCCTCCATTAAATGCCGGGCATATCCCTGCCTGTAAGAGCCTGTTCTTTACAAACAGACCGCCTTTTTGCAGTGCGGTCCTGCAGTCATTTACATATTCAAAGCACTCTTTGAAAAGGCCTGTAGCACAGTTTTATGAGCACAAAATCTTTCATGCAATTAGGTGATGTGCAGATGCCTGTGCGTGGCTTTTACAAAGCCTTACCGAAGAGAGACAAACTTCATGCTGTATTTCTGGTGGGTGCCTCAGAGCACTGAGGCCCTGCAAAACTCAGCACAATACTTTGCTGAACACTGTCTCTTGTCTTGCCTCCTGGTTCATCAGGCTGTTGGGCTGGAGTATGCTCTTGGCATTTTGTCATTTGATTTCTTTACAAGCCCATTTTGGGAGGAGAGAACATCATTTATCTTGATACATTTCACTCCCTATCCATCATGTTAACCAGGTGGGATTGGCGGGCAAGCCCATGGGCGGTCGGGGAGGCAGTAGCCAGCCCAGCTTTTTTGAACAGCTCCTTGTTGATGTAGCTCACAGGGATGCCCTGAGTTTGTCCACATCACGTCACGGCTGACCCCTTCCTCAGGGCTCTCATCACTCAGATTTCCTTGTGCCTTTGCCCTCACCCAGGTTGGAGGACACACCATGCTGCCTATCCGCTGGATGCCTCCGGAGAGCATCATGTACAGGAAGTTCACAACAGAGAGTGACGTCTGGAGCTTCGGGGTGATCCTCTGGGAGATCTTCACGTATGGGAAGCAGCCCTGGTTTCAGCTCTCAAACACAGAGGTACAACAGTGCTGGGACACCTCAGCCGGAAACTGTACTTTTTACCATCTCTCCTTTCCAGATTGCTTGCAAAGCAGTTCATACATAGATGGTCCCCTCCTTGGCACTCCCATGGCTTTGTCTCTGTTTAAGAGCTGGGGAAACTGAGGCATGCAGGAATCAAAGGGCTCTGCCAAAGCCAGGTACTGGCTCATCCTCAGTCTCTCCCTTCTAAGTTCCTGACATACGTCCATAACAGCCACATCTGACAAACTCTTGGGGTGCTGCCAGAACTGAGGATACCCAAATTACTGCTGGGCTCTAAGTTATTGTCATCCCCTGTATTTCCTCTGCTCTCTTTCTCCTTACTTTATAGCTGAATCTCTCTCTTACTGCAGTCTTCAGTTTATGAGAAAGTGTTTGAAGCCTGTTATATAGCATGTGGCACATTTCTGTGGGACTTTTCCCCATAGGGATATCTATTATATGGTTTGACCCAGTTCCTTGAGGGTGGGATCCAAGGAGCTGGTTCGTCCTTGTTATTTCTTTGAATAGCAAAAGTTGCAGCCCATCATTGTAGGGCTGTACTGTAAAAATGTTGAGGGAAGGCTGCCTGGGATTAGCAGAGCGTCAGAGCTGAGGTTTGAGGCACATCAGCAGAAATGCATTGGTAGATTTTTGCTCAGAATAGCAGGGGGTATTATAGAAGAGGAACAAGATGCATTGACATAGCAGTGTGTGGGAACCTTGCACATTTTTATCCTACTGTGTATCTAATGGATTTCAGAAATTCCACCTTTTATAATGAGAAATGTGCATTTTCTGGTTTCTGGATACAGATCCCTTAATTAAGTGAGTTGCAGAGATGGCAAATCCAAGGTGTTGCTTTACAGCTCTAATACTTGCCCATTCGTGTGCTCAATGGGGCCTGACTGTATATCCCAAAGTAGCACACGCAAACATTTTAGAGACACAAACAATGGAATCGACAGCGACAGAAGTTATTTGTCACGCTATTTAATGAGCTGCTCTTGCATTTCCCTGGGAGGCTAAATACAAACACACACAAGTGAGCACATGTAGCTTGTACATGGGTGATAGGCATGCTGGAATATGACAGCTCAGCTATCCCCATGCTTTCTGTCTCAGTTTCCTTTGCAGGGCAGTAGGACTGAGAATAGTCACCCCTAACCTTGAGGGAGAAGGGCTGGTTAAAATCTGCAGATACAGCTGTATTGGCTTTGCTATTATCTGTGGAAAAAATCTTTTCCTTTCCTTTCTCTATCCACTTCTTTCTGAGAGCTGAGGACTCCCACCCCAGACCATGCTTTCCTGGTGGGAGGGAGCCACAGTAGCTCTCATCTGGCTCATTTTTGACAATTTCTGGAGAGGTGGGCAGAACCCGGGTGGCTGCAAAGGAGTGACACCTCCACCAGCTCCTGGATGGTGAGGCATCGGAGCAAGTCTCAGCAGCAGCCTGGCTGCAGCTGCAAAGCCCCATGGAGAGGCAGGTTAACTGAGTCTGTGCCAAGCTCCGGACTGCCAGGACTGGATGGTGAGCAATCACTAGGCTGGTCCAGCATTGCTGCTGCTGAGTGTGGACATTAGCAAAGCTGGGATGCCCGCTCCCTCCTGTGGCATCTGGATGCCCTCATACCCTCAGAGCATTTTTAGCAGTTTTTTTCAAGGGTGGAAGAGACCCTGCCTGAGCAGAGGAATGAGGCAGGGCACCACCTCGTCTGAAAGCCTCAGCCAGTCCATTAACTTCTGTCTATGCCCTTCCTTTGCCCTGGAGAGAAAGGGCCCAGCACAGGGCTCCTGTGCTTGTCCAGGATGTCCTGTCAGAAACCATAACTCACCTCCTTGCACAAGTCACCACTGCCAGCAGCTTTATGCCATGCAGGCTTCTCTGCATGCTGCGCCTTCCTAACCCCGCTTTCAGCAGGTCCTAATCTCTCCCCTCTGTATTTATATGCAAACAACAAAGCGATAAGTATCCGTTGAGCTGTGTGGCAGGCCCATTATTATTCATAAACGATAAATTCCAAACACCCCTTGCTGGGTGGCTTCCCTCAACACACTGCTGGGATCTGTGTTTATCTGCAGAGCGTGGCAGGTCACTCGCACACTGCAATGCTGGGACTCATCAACTCCAACCAAGGAGGCCAGACGGTAATAGCAGCTCTCTGACAAATCATACCCCCCTTCCCTTTGCATCCATTCCTCTGGTGAACAAAACACAAACAGACACTTAGGGGAGTCCTTTCCAATGGCATCCCTCGGAAGAGACTTTAATGCTATCCAAGAGCTCACATTTCTCTCATTAGCAGCACCAACCTGACCCAGAACAGTGTTAGCACTGCAAATTTTTTTTCTCCATCACAGATGTGATTTGAGACGAAATTTCATTCTTTCAGATGCTTTTCTATGTCAAAATGAGGCAAAGCTGCCTTTGGAGATGGAGGTAGGAAAAGATGCTCTGAACTCTCCCTTGTAGAACTCTCCTGGGCTTTGCAATGGAAAGGACTCTTGATTTTCAGAGAAGAAAAATACCATTTTGGCTGTGCAAAATATTACTTCAGCTTGGGGGTTTTAAGGCTTTTTTTCCTTCTTCAATTAGCAGGAAAAACTGACATCATAAGTTGAAACTTTATTTCTTTTTTGCTTCTGACCTCCTGTTTGGAGAGCGCATTGAGGTAGGTAGGTGTCAAATGGGGAAGGTTTTTGGGAATTACAAGACTACAGCTGGAGACAAACTTTTCGCTGTGTAATTATCATTAACAACACACAAACAGGTGAGCGCTGAGGATCTGCAGACCTCTTGGCTTCTCAGTGCTCCCATTCACTAAACGTTACCACATCAGCCAAGAAGTAGCTGGGACAAGACATCCTCCAGGAACTGCCTGACTGGTGTTCAACGTTTACTTTCTTTCTTTCAGGTCATTGAATGCATTACCCAAGGCCGAGTTTTGGAAAGGCCTCGAGTCTGCCCCAAGGAGGTTTACGACATCATGTTGGGCTGCTGGCAGAGAGAACCTCAGCAACGGCTCAACATCAAGGAGATCTACAAGATCCTTCATGCTCTGGGCAAGGCCACACCAATCTACCTGGACATCCTTGGCTAGCAGTGGCCACTTGTTGGAAGTCCCTGCTCCTTCCTTCCGTCCTTCCTTCCCTCTCCCCCTCCCAAGTCCTTTGCCCCTCAGCTCCCAAGCAAACATCTTCATATAAACTCAAGTGCCTGCTACACATACAACACTGAAAAAAACAAAACGAAAAGCAAACCAACAAAAATCCCACAAAACAACAACCTGTAAGGCAGTTTGGCTTATATATATTTATAGATATCTCTCTCTATATAACTTCCACACCAATACAGAAAGAAGCTGCTGTTACAGAAAATTATAAGACTTTAAAAAAAAAAAGAAACAAAAAAGGGAGAAAAAAGTACTTAAAAAGATATATATAATTAAAAAAAAAAAAAAGAAAGAAAGGAGAAAGTATCTTTCCCCCAAGCAATGAAGCAGTGAATTGTAACCCTGCTGTGAGTATGATTCGGGCTGCTGGGCAGGGCTGTAGACTGGCTACGGCAGCAATGCCATTCCGGGTAGGAGCCCCGGGAGGAAAGCCTTGCTCTGGTTGTATGATATGCACTGAATGTTTGAAATCAGTCCTCCCTTTTCGTCCTTGCCCCCCTTGCTCTTTCCCAGCCCACAGGTGATGGGCACAAAGCCAGGGCAGTGCCCCTGGATGAACTCTCTTTTACCAACCCCTTCCCTCCCTTCCTCTAAGTCCTTCCCCATCCCTCTCTGCCTTCCTGCCTTTTTCCTCCCTCCAACATTTCAGGACAATTTTTCTAATTTGTTGGTTCTTAAATGTATAGACTCAAGGCTTTCAAACACACAGTCAAAGGATTGTGGCACCTACGGGTAAAACACACACCAGGAACAAACCACCCTGCCGTGACGGCGAGCCGGCCTAACCCAGACCTCCCTCCTGCCCCTGCTGCCAGGGCTGGGAGAGCAGCGGGACCAAAGCAGCTGTGTGAAAGAGTCAAGGCGGGGTCCTGGAGACCCGGTCCTGAATCATCCCCAACCCATTTCAGCGTGCGAGACAGGAGTGCTTCGTCCAGGGCACCCAGCGCAGGTGGCGACTTTGGGAGGAACAACCCCCCGCCATCCCCACGCCTCCTTTTTCTCCCCACCCTTCATGTTTGCTACTGGCCATGGGGTTGTTCCCCCTCCCCCAGCTGTCTGCACCAGGGCCAAATTCGTCCCTGATGTAAACCTTCAGTTGACAGGGTTGGATCCCTGCTCCCCTCATGGGGGAAAGGCTGCAGTGTGCAGACAGCTGGGAACGTGCCTGCATTCTGGCTGGGCATGCCCATGGGGTCAACATATCCCAGCACTATTCCTCCCCATCCTCTGCCCTTCCCCATCCCTGTCCCATGCCTCAGTCCAAGCCTCAGGCACAAGCCAGAGGGGGACAGGGAGGGAGACAAGGCTTGCAAGATGGCTGGGAACCTACCAACACCTGCCTGCAGCCCCCTTGCCATTCTCCTCACGTCCCCATCCCCTGAAAGGATTGATGCATCTGCCTTTGAGCTGTTGTGAAATGCAGAGGCTGAAGAATAGCTCCACAGGCAGCCCCGGGAGAAGGGGGGGAAGGAGGGGAAGGTGCCTTCAGGAGCAGACGGCTCAGCGGATGGCCGCAGCAGCCAGCCTTGCATCTCAATGAGGATATAGGCCTGACGGGCAGCGACAGCGGGTGGTGGGGACAGGGAGGGAGAGACAGAAGCATCCTCCCTATAGCCCATCACCCTCCAGCAGGAAATAATCCTGCCCTGGAGAAAGGCTGAGTCAGACACTGAATCCCATCCCTCCAGACTGGGATGAGAATATAAAACCTTTCTGGGTTGGTTTTTTCCTGTGGCTAATCGAGGATGAGGGGGGACCTCAGTTTGGCAGCTGCTCTCAGGAGGCAGGGAGCGGGCGCCACAGGCATTGTCAAAGCAATTTTGAGAAGGCAACAACCACCGGCACAAAAATAGCCTGCTTGGATGTGGCGCTTGCCTGGAAGGGAATGCGGATTGGGGGAGAGGAGATGGAGGAGGGATCTTGGCTCCTTCCCCATGGCCAGGGTAGTATTCATCGCCAGGATGCAAGGCGAGATGGGTGACTCTGACTGAGACCTGATTATGGCCAGCTACTGAAAGGGGAAGATTTTACATCCTCTCCTCATCCCCCTTGTCTCTTGCCAATCTCTGCCTCCTGCCCATGGCTCTGGCATGACCTGGCTCATGGTTTCAGACAGGGGCAGGGGACACTGCTACAAGGAGGTTTGTGGTGGCAGCAGTGGCTGTGGGTTTATTCTGTGCTTGTGTAAAGAGCAGTGCAAGCTTGGGGTGGGAGATGATGGGTGGCAGTAACCATGTGGGAGTAAGGAGGTAACATTCCTCTGCATGTTAGAGAGACCTGGGCTAGTGGGACAGGCTCGTGCCAATGGAGGCTGGACGGCCGGCCGCTGAACAGGCACCAGCAGCTCACAGCATGGACACCAAAGATGGCATGGTCAGGGACAAGGGTGTGGACCGGTGCCAGGAGTCAGCACACAGGAACAACATACCATGCCACACCTCAATAGCAGGATCTTGCTCCTTTGGGGGAGGACATCTAGTTTTCCTCATCTGCCTACTTAGGTCCACATTTGGAAGTGAAAAAGATTGGTTGAAGGATTGCTAGCTCTGGCCTGGCTCACTTTGTATGGAGGCTGCTTTGGCTGAAAGGATTGGAGATTCTGTACAAGGGGAGAACAAGTGATGGCTGTTAATGGCCCAGTGTCTCCAAAGAAAACCCTTCCCTGGGGCTGCCTGTCTCTTACCCCAAATGGCTTCTTGCTTTTGTGGCTGCCAGACGCTGCGCCAGATTGTGCAAGGCCACCACTTTGTCCACCCCTCTCACTCTCATGCTCTCATTTCTCTTTTTGGCCAATGTCACGGGCCTTTACACTGTCAAATCACCTACGGACACTGTGTTCCCATGTTTGATAAGATTGCCCTGTCACCATTCTGCACAGCAGCTACATCCTCCTTTCCTTCCTTCTTTCCTCCTTCCCCTCCTCCCCAGCACCACCACCCTGTCCCTTTTGCCACCTCTTTGTATGGTTATGACAGTGAGGCGAGCTCAGGAGTTGAGCATGACACCAAGCCTTGGTGCTGCATGGTTAGGAATAAGTGGTCTGTGAAAGGGAAGGAGATGGGTCCCCAGAAGATGTGAAGTGGCTGAGACCAAGGTTCAGGCTGTCTGACTGCTTTACTGTTAGCCCCACCAAGTGCAGTGAGTGCCTCGGAAAAAGGTCCTTTTGTCAAAGTTAATTGTGAACAATTGCTCAGAAGAGCAGGATAAGCTGCAGTTCTGCGGTGTGACGTCTCCCCGACTGCTGCTGCTGCTGCTTTATGCCCCTTAGCCTCTTGGTGCTGGATGGAGGTTTGTTGGGAGGGAGGAGGAGGTTGTTTTACGTTCGAAGACATGATGGAAACTGCTACATCCCTTTTTGGCATGACAGTTTTGGAGGGGAAGAGCTAAAGCAGCTGTGCTGAGTTCCTGGTGAACATCCTGAGACCTCATTTCCAGAAGCACCTTCCCTGGACCAGAAGAGGATCTTCCCGTCAGCACGGGTGATGGTGCTCTTCCCTGTAGGAAGAGGGGCTCTGGGGTGGCCCTGCCACCGCCCCACTGCATGTGAGGGGAGGAGGAAGAGCAAGTTTGGAGGGAAAACCTCACCGAGTGCCATAAATCTGAGTGTGGGGACTGTTTGGAGGCAAAGAGAAATGAGTTCATGCTCCTTCTGCATTTCCAAGAGAGATACTTATCATTGCCCTGCCTCACTAAGAGGAGAGAACTATCCCTGCTGCCTGAGAACACCAACAGGTCTCACTTAGCTGTGGGGCAAGTCAGGCCTAATCCCCAGCATGCCCAGGCAGATGTTCCCACCACCCAACCTCTTCCATCTGCAGTTTTCTCAAGGGGCTTGTGAAAGGAAGCTGGGAGGAACGTTGGTCTGAGCACTGCTGAGAAGGGGTCATTGGGTCTTCCCTGTCCCAGCTGTGTCCTGCTCCTTAAAAATTAAAATTGTTAGCACCAACTCAGTCACCCAAGGGTGTCACTGAGGTGATGCTTTCTTGGAGGTGAAGGTGCTATTTTGGTTCACGGTACGGATGGCAATCGCATGCCAGGGCTGCAAACTGTGGGCAGTAACTGTGACTCCAGCCTTAGGGGCTCATCAGTGACCTGTCTTGTCTTCTCCAGCCATCACTTTTCCTTGCACCCCAGTCTGTCAGGTTGCAAGATGAAAGCTGAAATGTAGCTAAGGGAAGACACAATGATCTGCCAGACTGAAAGTTCACCCTGTCTCCCACAAAGCTTGCCCATCTGGTCTTTTCAAATGTCCCTCAATGCGTGTATTTTGGGAGTGACAAAGAGCCTGGGCTGTCTCATTTCAGGCCTGTCCTGGGGTCCACAGGGTGTTGAATTGCAGACAGGTGACTCTGGGAACATGTGCTGCACAGACAAATGTGAAAAATCTGGAGTGCCTTTAGAGAGGCTGCTTGCTTGAGAGACATCGTGAGCTTTGAGCTGTCTGCTTGTCCCCAGGAGTGGGTGGAACAAGGTGAGAAAATGTGTGGGGAAATAAAAAAGCCAAGGAAAGGGAAAGGGGGTTTTAGAAGGCAAGTGAGTATCTTGGGTTGGGAAATCGAGACTGGTTTCGGGAGTGTGGCGTAGAATTTTAAGTAGCACTGTGGATACAAGCAAAAAACAAAAGAAAATAGCAACATACTAGAGCTCCAGGAAAAGTTAGCTATAACACTGGGCAAATGCTGGATTAAAAAGGAGACAGAAACCAATAAAAGAAAAACAAAAGGCAGAAAACAAAATCACTAGGGTTTGTGCTTTTTTATGATTTTTTTTTTTACTACAAGAAAATACAACTAAAAGAAGGCCTGAAAAAATTATGTTTTTTCAGGGCCACACACAGAAGTATAATACTACATGAGCTGTTTCCTTTCATGTGAAAGGCTCTTATTTCCCAGAACGCAAATCCATGAGTTTCCCTGAGCTCAGGATATGGGTTGAAGAACGCAGACCTGGGTCACCGCAAGCCCATGAAACCAGAAGTAGTTCTGAACACTTGATCAGCAGGTATTTATGTGCCAGTCTGCATGGAGACAGTATTTTGTTCAGCAATGTCATCTTAAGAAGTTTTGTTAAATCTTTCTCATTTCCCCCCTCTGCCCCCAGGGAGTGTCTACATCCTTTGCCCAACTGTGACTCCCAATGAAAAGGCAATGCAAGTAGCTGAATTTTTGGCGCATCATATGTCCATCTTTGCTTCCTGATCTGGCCAGGAAGCAGCT